ATGGGAGTGCTTGGCTGCCCGGGGGTCCGCTTGGACCGTTGGCTGTGGGAGAGACAGGAAGCTTCGTGTTCTCTTGTCATCGTTTCTCCGAGGCACCTGAGAACCACGGGGCGGGTGTAATGAGCTCCTGCTGTACGCAGGCACTGCTGGAGGTGCCTCCGCCCTCGTTCACCGACTCCCACCCAGTTTCCTCAATTCTAAGAGTCGTTTTAAACAGGAAAAGCTAACATTGGGAAAGCAGCGTGTCTCACACTCCGTGAGCGTGTTTAATGTGGGATTTGTTATTACTTGAGAAGACACCACTAAAAGATGGTGATCGTGAAAATAACCGGCCTCTTAGAGTCAGAGACCGCGTTTTAAGTCGTGCCCCTCCCCCACACTGTAGGAGGAGGAAGCTGGGGCTAGGGGGTCTCTAAACTGCTCACAGCCATGGGCACACAGTGGCTTGGCGGCTGGTCCTGGCCCCTGGGTTCCGTGCACCCCCCAGAGTGACCCGGCATTGTGTTGAAATGGGGCCTCCTGGGGCGTCTGCAGCGGGCGATGGGGCTCTGAGAGGGTGTCCGCAGGAGAAGAGGCTGGTCCGAGCAGAGGGAGCTGGGCAGCGGGGAGGGGCTGTCCTGGGCTCTCTGCGGTCATCAGGCTGTGTGATCACACAGCTGGGCTTCCACGGACGCTTTATCTTATCTTAGCGGGACCTGTGTGCTTCCTGACCCTCTGGGCAGCCCTCAGGGCGAGCAGTGGCCTGGCCTCCGGGACCCCGAAAAGGCTCCAATGGGGGGGACCTGAGTGCACCCCACGGGGGAGGCTCTGGTTTCTCTCTCTGCCCCTCTGTCCCTCTGAACACCGGGGCCCTTCGTTCTCATAATGAAGGTCTCGCCTCCTCTGGGCAGCGGGACCCCGAGACCCTGAGTGGGAGAGCCTGCGCCTCCTCAGGCCGCAGGCGGGCGGGGGCCGCGGACGGCACCTGAGCAGGGAGCCTCCCACCGAGGGGCCAAGACGCCCCTGAGCCCCGCTGCCCAGCTCGGGAGGCACGCGAGTGACCGCAGTCGGATAAAGGGGTTGGAATCGGAAGGAAATACACACTCGGGTGGTAGAAGTTTCAGTTCTGCCCTCGCAGCCAGCGCCGCTTCTCCTCCGGCCGTTCTTCTGGCCGGTCCCCTGCCTGCACCCGTGTGCCGGGTGCCTGTCCCACAGCCACCTGCTCCTCCGGAAGGGGCTTCCAGGTCATGTGGGACCCCAGTGGGTGAGCGAGGGCTCAGGTGCACGGGAAGAGCGCAGCCTGGCCGCCCCTCCTGTGGGATGCGGCTGTCTGTGTTCCCAGTCAGTGTCCTGGGGTGTCCTGAGTCACACCCAGCCTCAGACACCCAGGATTCCATCTCATTTTGGCTCATTCTCAGCTCCATGCCCTCAAGTTAGGTCCACCAGTGGGTCTCAGTTCCCGGCTATAAAGTCGGAGCGCCCCGCGGCCCTGCCTCTGTGGCATTAATGAGTCCCTTGGCTCCTGCATCTCATCTTCCTCAAGAAGCCTGTGTGTTCAGACACCCAGAGTCCTTCCTTTATTTCAGAAGAATTTTTTCTCATAAGTGAGAACCACCAAATCGGCTTAAAATGATTCATCCTCCTGACAGTGTGTAAAATGGTTGTGTTAAGTGAGCCCCAAACCACAGTCCCTCTCTCTGCTGGGAGCATGTCCTCCCCTCCGTGTTTGTCTCTGAGGGCAAGGCTGGAGCTGCTGGCTTCGGCCCCTCTCTGCGCCCCGAGGCCCAGGTCCGGTCGCACGGTGAGGCGGGGGTGACAGGAGAGGGGACGATCCGTCAGCCAAGGGGAGCCCTGCTGGACTGAGGGAAGGCTCAGTGAGAACAGGACCGAAATCCGTAAGATACGGGCTTCGTCTTTCCCGTGCTTTGTTCCATTTTTTAAAGCATCAAAATTCTCTTCCCAGTGAACCCAGCTGCAGATTCCACTGAGTCCTTTATGTGATCCAGATTTCAAACACACACTCAGCCAGGAGAAGTTCACATCGACTTCAGTGGTTTATCTTTCCTTTAAAAAACAAGAAGGTATTTTTTGAGCATCACGAAGCACTAGGCTCTGCTGCGCTTATGTGCACGAGTCCCCTACACCTGGGAGCTGCCCTACGAAGTTCAGAGGTCATGGTTCCGGGTTTACAGGGAGAACTACACACAAAGACCACATGCTGTGCCCGGAGTCGCGAACTGCCCATCCCACTCAGCTCCCAGGCTGTGGATATGGCGACCAAACCGGCTGATTGACAGGACTCAGCACATGCCAGCCTCCCTGACCCCCAGGGAAGCTTCTAGACCAGCGGTTCTCAACCTGTGGGTCGCGACCCCTCTGGGGGTCGAACGACCCTTTCACAGGGGTCGCCTAAGACCATCGGAAAACACATATATAATTACATATTGTCTTGTGATTAATCACTATGCTTTAATTATGTTCAAGTAGTAACAATGAAATTGGGGGTCACCACAACGTGAGGAACTGTATTAAAGGGTTGCGGCATTAGGAAGGCTGAGAACCACTGTTCTAGACTGTTGTTCTCTTTGGACATCACAGCATACATTTTCCTAAATTTGCCAGCCAGAGTTTTTAGTTGACCTTTGGACTGAATTTCTCATCCTCCTTTGCTTTTCATGGGATTCAGTATAAGGGAATGCTGGAATATGCTTGCTAATATTAAATGCTTGTATTCTCATAATAATTAAAGGATGCCATGAAAATTGATGGGATGGTGAGCTCATGGAATGATGGCATAAAAAGTAGTAAAGAATCTGAAAGCTTTTTGAAGGACCAGTGAGTTTTATAAATGTAAGACTGTAGAGAGAGGGTGTGGTTTCAATAGGTGTGAGTGTCTAGCCTTTTTGCCTAAACAAAAAGCAGATCCTGCCAGGTTTTCTTTAACTCTTAAAACACCTTGTGCTAGAGCTAGACTTGATGACAAAGATTCAAAGCTCACTTAGGAATATATTACATACTAGTTTGCACTAATTAAACAAAAACAAAACCCTGGATTTCTGCCTCTTTCTGTAACCGTAGCCATCATTTATAGGTGGAGTTGAGGTTGGTTGAGGCAAAATCAGGAACCTAGATAATTCTCAAAATGGATACTGAAGTCTAAGTAAAATGTTCCCTATGACATGACCTCCAGGGTTCTGGGTGTGGCTGTGTGTGCAAGGCTAGGTGTGTGTTTGCAGTCTAACCAGTGCACGGTCAGCCTGGTAGACGTTTCCATGGAATATAGAAAGATTTACCAGGTGATTCCTTTGCATGCTGAGAATTTGGATTTCTTTCTACTTCAGTCTTTGTAATTAATGTATCAACAGTGTTTACCCCCAAATTAAGTCACAGTTAATATTCATCAGACTCCAGTATCATCACTCGCACCCTTTAATTTATAGCATTCACTGTGACACACTATTTGTTTTTTTCTTCTGCCCATTATAATTTTAAAACAAAACACTTTTTTTTTAAATTAAGAATGTTTTACCTTTAACATCTAAAAATTTAGAATACTCACATAAAAACACACACACAAAGAATTGTAGAAAAATGCCATTGCTAACGTTTTAATTGTTCTAACGGAGCCACTTGGAAAACTAAATTCCTTTAGCATTATGTTTTGTGTTGAGAGCATCTTTTTGTTTGGCTGTTCAATAACTTACTGAAGAACAGAAGATGAATAATATAAAGTGGCTCCTAATATGGTATCATTTTCATTTCCTGTTTGTTGGAAGATAAATGCTAGCTCTGTAGGGCTCTTCTCCCTCTCCCCCCAAAGAAAAAAATCCAACGTGATAGGCCCAGACTGAGCCAGCCAGCACCCAGCAGGCTTCCTGGGGCCTCTCCTCTCTTGCTGTGTACCCTTCCCTCCTCTGCTTCCCCATTCCTGAAGCACTTTCTCCCTTAGAAACGCCCTTACCCAAAAATGTCTCCCCTGATTGTTATTTTGGAGTAACTCTAGACTTATAAGACACGATTGATGTTTACAAGATTTAAGGTTAATTATGTGACATAGAAGGAATGAGTCCCTCCTCAATTTTGTGTTTCTCCCTCCCTCCTTCCCTCTTCCTCTCTCTTCTCCTTCTCCCTCACTCTTCTCCCTCTCATCAATCCCTTAAGCATTTTCCCAAAATTCTGCAGCTGTTCTATTAACAATACCATCATCTTTTGGGGATACATTTCCCACTTCTTTCACAGAGGTAATTATTACATGTCCCCTATCCTCAGCTGTCTTGAACTATCAAAAATATCATGTTAACACAGTCCAAAGCAAGTAACATCCAAAAAACAGTATTTTGAGTCCCTGCCACATACAGCAGATTAGGAACTCCTGTGCCTCAGAAGGTAATGTTTTGGAGGAGGAGGAGGTTTCAGTATGTTAAGGTGAGAGACCAGCACAGGGTGTAGGTGCTTGCTTACTGAGTAGATGGGCAGGCTTACTCTGCGTTCACGTGCAAACGGGCACCTGTAACACTGTGGCCCTGCATCTGCCCTGCCAGTGAGACCATGGCCAGTCTTCGTCCGGGCCTCCCTGCCAGGGAAGATGAGGCTCATTGGCATCAGTGCCCCGTCTGTCTAGGAGTTCGCCCACAGCAACAGCACCTGAGGTGATGAGTGTTAGCTACCTGGCTCGTTTTCTTTCGGCTTCCTCCTGAATAAGGTTGGTTAATAGGCATGATTCACGCTTTTGTCTTGGAGCTGTCTGTGTCACATGCGACTCCTGGTGCCAGCCGGTCTGGAACTTCCCAGTTAAAAGCTAATGGATCTTGTGCTGAGGAGCTCACACGGACACCTCATACTTGAGCTTGGCACCGGTCATGGAGATTTCAAAATGATTAAGCAGGGAAATACTTGGTCATGTGTGATGGTGCCATAGCTCAATTTGGAATGTGTATTGTTTTGGACATAATGATATGTAATAGTAACAGTGTATTCAAATCTGTACGTAAAGAAATAACAGAGCCTGTTTTCCCTGCCAGCTCGCAAAAGACAAAGAGCGCCTGCAAGCCATGATGACCCACCTGCACGTGAAGTCCACGGAGCCCAAAGCCGCCCCGCAGCCCGTGAGTACTGAGCTGCATGCGGGGAGGTGGCAGCCTTCTCGTTGCGTCCCCAACCCAAGCCCAGGCCGCAGTGCGTAGGGAAGGCCTGGTGAGCTGGCTGCTTCTGGTAACCTGTTCTGAAGAGGTGTCTAGGGAGATACAGGGTGCTGCAGCCACAGTGCTGGCTCCTGAGGCCCGAGCAGCCAGCTCCTGTTGGGACAGATGGTGGACGCTACGCTAAGCTGCTAAAATAGATTATGCGAACTCACTGGGAGAGAATAGAAAAGCTCTGAAAGGCGATGCAGGGAGAAGACAGACTACGGAGGCCGAGGCCTCGCAGCCAGGGAAACTGAGAGGTGGTGAGTGTGAGTGTAATGGAAGGAGGGAAGCACCCGCCAGAGTGAGACTGTGGAGCAGAGAGGGTGACGTGGACTCCTTCCCAGTCAAGAGACCAAGCACGGCCCTGAGTTATGTTCAGCTCTAGGTGTCCCGCCTCCTGCCTCTTCCCTTTCACTTGACCTCAGGAAGTGCCATCCAACGGCAGGATGGTCTCCCCAGCCCCTGGCTTGGGCCTGGTTCTTTATTCTAAATTGATCTCTTTAATGGTTGTAATTCTCATATACTTGTATTTCTAAAACTCTCCTAGTACCTTCAACTGATTATCAAAATAGAGTTGCTTTGCTCCTTGATTTTTAAGATTTGTAAAATTTAAAGGTACACTGCCTTTATTTGATTTTGTACGGAGTCACTGTGTGAAAATTAATTGAGCGTTGACAATCTATAGTTAGTACCAGCAATTTTAATCAACATGCAATGATGCAGCATAATGGCAAAGTATTGGTTTATCTGTTTGGACGATTTTTTTCTATAAATAAAGCAAACACACACCCCTATATGTATGATTTATGGTGATAGAAATAAAACGGAGTCAGACTATTAACCAGCAAATATGGTAGCCTGCCAGGACGCAGTTGGCAGACAAAATTAATGTCTGAAACAGAACACATTACTGAGATATAGGACATAAAATCATTAAACACTTTGTACATCCATTTTTACTTGGAAGGAGCCCTTAGTTCCCATGTAGTTTGCAGTCTATGGCTATAGGACTGAGCATGTAGGCTACCAAAAGGAAAGCGGGGGAAAGCACAGGCCATTCAGTATGTGGTGGAATCAGTAGTCAACTGTGCTATTCTTGCTATTTCTATCAATCCCCCTTCTTTAAAGAAATATACATATTTTTTATTTCAGAGAGGAAAAGAGAGGGAGAGATAGAAACATCAATGATGAGAGAGAATCATTAATCTGCCTCCTGCACACCCCCTGCTAGGGTGGAGCCTGCAACCCGGGCATGTACCCTGACCGGGAATCAAACTGTGACCTCCTGGTTCATAGGTTCACACTCAACCACTGAGCCACAGGGGCAGGCTCAATCCCTCCTTTTAATAGGGATCCTGGGAATGACATGAACTCAGCTAAGCAAATGGTGAGACCCTGTAGTGGGCCAGCCACTCCCCCAGGGACATGATCACCTTCCAACTCAGAGTGTTCCTGTGTTTTATTTGGAGGGAAATGGTTCCTCCCAGGAGAGAGGTGCGTCTGTAACCCTAGCAACAAGGGGGGTAGTGATATTATCTTCTACTTACAGACAATGATACAATAATGTTTGGATTCCAGAAATGGACTCATTCTGAATCATGAGGCTTCTTGGGGGGCGAAGGAAGTGTCAAACTAGAGATGGCACTGCCGGAGCCCAGGCCCCGTGGAGGCGCCCAGGGAGGCCCCAGAAGGCCCCGGGACTCCGTGAGGACCAGTGGTAAGCAGCCAGCAGACAGGGAAGAGCAGTCCTGGGGGAATGCACAAGGAAGTTCGCCTTGATTAGTGTTAAAAAAATAAGTTACATTCTAGAAAATTATAACTCTACAGCAGACCTCCTACTAAATTCATTTTTAACTGCTCTATTGAAAATTCTCTACCACGAGTCAACATTATCTCTTAGTAGCTCAGCACAGTATTTCTTTATTAAAAGAAATAGGCACGAATATTTTTGACTGAAAAATTAATAGCTTTTGAATTCATACACAGCAGGTTTTCTTTTGCAAAGAGGTCCAATATCGCCGCGCAGCACTTCCATAACCATTTATTTAGAGTCCAAGTCAAACCTTTGACAGCTCGAGCAGCGCTACAAGCCGCTACAAAGAGCTCCAGGATGTAAACCAACAATAGGCGTCTGTGTGGGGCTTGCCATTGTCAGACACACAGATTGTTTGGATTAGTTTATGTAAATGTACTGTTGTATTACCCTTTGAAAAATAAAAAGATCACATTTGTGTATGAAAAGTGGTTCCCTTCACAGGCAGCATTATAAATTCCTTATCCTTTAACTTACATGTAAGAAGTAAAAATTGGTGCCTGACAAGCAGATATTGTGTGACACTGTCGCTGGAGTGAACCTGCCTTCTTTTCATTTATTGGAAAATAGAAAATTTCATTACAGATACCGTCTTATAAATCGGGAATTATTGAATGTGTATAGGTGAGGCATTGGGAAATTAATTATAAAAGGTAGACGTGTCGTGTTTTGCACAAGTTTTTACTTGACCCCAAAGAGAAAAAAAGCGCCGGCACATAGCAAACCCTTGCTTTTCCCACTTTGGTGACGCAGAGCTGTCCGATGAGCAAGTCTAATGTGCAAACAGTCCCTTTGCCGGTAATTAATTTATTTCATCTTAAATAATAGAAAACACAGTTTATGGTCAAATGCATATTCTTCCTGAATCTTTGATTTGAAATAAGCAATCATCAGGGTTCAAATCTAACCATAGATGGGGACTTTCACATGATAGCCTTGCCAGCAAGTTTATGAATTTTCTTTCCATTTCTGTTTAAAAGGAACTTGGTGTTTATTTTTAAGTTCTTAGTGACTGAGTGGTAGAATGCTTTGCAGTGAGCGCTGCTTCTCACTACGCGCCGTTTTGGTGGTAAGTGTCTTCCAACCAGTCCCCATTCCATTCGGTCAGAGGAACTGCCAGCGCTTCTTGGATTGTTCTTACATCAGCTCATAGATGACATTTCCTGGGGCTGAGAGGGGGCGCGTGCCTGTGTGTGAGGGAGGGCAGGGGTGAGGAGCAGCGTGCAGGGAGTTGAGCAGCCAGCCAGCGGTGGCGTTGTATCCTTTGCTGGTGGGCAGCTGGCCCTGGTGGAAGGGGCGTGCGTCCCACAGCAGCGCCGTCCCGGCGGGTGAGCACGTGTGGTGGGAAAGAAGTGTGTCTGTCACAACAGATGAGTTGTCTGGGTATTTCGGAAGACTTTGCTGACACTGTAAGCCATCCTTCCTGACCCTGGGCACAGGGAGGCACTGGCGTCAGGGCGCCGTCCAAGCTGCGGGGCTCACCGCAGGGCAGCGCGTGTCCTCCCGGAGAGGTTCTGGAACACCCAGAGGAACGGGGTGTTTGAAGTGCATGGGTTGGATCTTCCGTCGTACGCATTCTCTTTTCCTCTAGCCATGGCAGGTAGGGCTGCTGGAAAGAGTTTTAGCTGCTATGAAAGCGGAGCTCTCCTGTCTGAAGGGGGTCTTTTAGCTCTGAGAGAAGCGGCCCAGCCTTGGGCCCGCAGCCAGGCTGTGTGCGGTCAGCAGCACACGCAGGCCTGGCTCTGCACCTCCTCACTGCGTCCCTCCTGCGCTCCGAGCGGCTCTCCAGTGTCGGTCAGTGACTCCAGCTCTTCCAGCCCCCGTGCTAACATGGTCCCAGGGCCTGGCCGAGCTGCCAGAGGAAGGCAAGTGCTGGAACAGAAGCCTCCGCTGCCACATGTCGCTGCCTCCCCCAGCCTGGGGGCCCTCCAGCCTCAGGAAGCCTGCTCTGAAGGATACAGGGATCCGTGCACAGAAACTCCGTGCCGGGCTTGCCCTGCTCAGGCAGTAAACCCAGCAGCAGAAAAACCGAGCTCTGGGGCCTGGAAGCCCCACCAAGCAGCAAGGTCCCTTGTGTTTTGGTTTCAGGTTTGTCTTTTGTTCTCAGAGCCTGCTCTCCTGTGAGACAAGAGCATAAACAAAAATACCGATGAGTCCTGATGGGAGACTCGACAAGTCTGTCTCTGTCCGGCTTTGCTTCAGCGGCTTGTTCTTTTTTTTTCTTTGTTTTTAATGTGAGTGACTCATCATCTTTAAAGAGAGACGAGGTTACTGTTTAAAAAAGTAAAGATTGATTTTCTGCAAAAGGGCTAGGCAGACTATGAGGTAGCTGAGACAGTGCCAGCAGCGGCTGGGGTTCCCAGGACAGCCTGCAGCGACGGTCGAGAGCACCCAGAAACGTAGAAAATAAAGCCCTACAGCACTTCTAAGTGACACAGGAATTTAACTTTTGGCCAGAGTTTCAAAGAGATTATCTTTGCCCAAATCATCACATGATGGAAACTTGCCATGGAGAAAATACCAGCATTACTAACTTCTCTAAACATAGCAACTTCTTTTTAAATAGAAAATGAACACAATAAGAAAAATAGGAAAAGAAACCCTCCCAGTCCAACTCCTTCCTGCTCCGGCCCCAGAAAAAGTGCCCTTTGAAACCGTAACTGCAGTCAGAAACACAAGGTGCAGATGCTTTCGTTCCAGTTGAGCATTACGTTAAGATTTAATAGTTGACAATTAAGAGGGCGATTTCAAGATGATGGCAAAACCCTTGCTGTCCCCCGTGCGCGCTCTGTGCTGAGCCTGTGAAGAAGTTCTGGTCCTCGGTGCTCAGATGACCTTCCCGCGCAGGCGGGAGCGCAGCCTGTTTGAACCCTGCCCTCGTGCGCTTATCTGCCCTCGTGACCGTCCCCCCAAGATGGCTTCTCCTCTCGAGACGAGCATGTGAGCATCAGACAACAGCTGAAAAGTCAAGAAACTTCTGCTGCGGCTGACAAGGTTGACGTTTCATTAGCTTGTTGGTTCGGCCGTCAGCTCTGGCGAGGCGGAGCCGGTGTCTGCAGCCCACAGCGTCTGTTCTCTCCCGCACAGGCTGCAGTCGTGTCTAATTTGGAATCTTGGCTCCTTCGGCAAATTAGCAATTAGAACAATTTTGTGGGAATATGTATGTGTGTCATTAGTTTTCCTGCAAATTAATAGCGAGGGCAGAGGTCAGGCAGACATTTTCCACTCGACTGCAGCCGCTCTGTTGAGACTTGGCACCGGCGTTGGAATGGCCGCAGCTGCTCTCAGCCACCCTCTTCCTCCAGGAACCGTGTTTAATTAGTTTACCTCATAGCCATCGTTACAAATATGACGGCCTCCCCTCCTCGAGATAAAATGACTGTTTCTACAAAATATTCCAGGGCCGTCCTGCAGCACTGCACACTGATGGCAGGCCGCGCGATGCGGCATTTAATCATTAGATCACCTCCGTCCGCGTCTCCTAATTAGAGTCCTTACAATACATTTTTATCTGGTAATTAGCCCGGATTGGATGCTTCCTCTGTGGCTTGTTAGAGACAGCCCAGCAGTGGGTGTGGACCCAGTGTCATTTGTCACGCCTGGGACGCCCCTCGCCGCCCTCCTCTGGCGAAGCGTCTATTTCCACTTGCTCCTGATGTTCAGACGCCTCCCGAAAATTCTGCCGCACTGTTTTCCTTGTGCTTGTGCTGGCCGGGAGGGCTTTAATGTCCCACCGCTGTTTTCTTGGTAGAAACAGTCCATGTGTTGAGACCTTTGCAAAAGCTGCAGGAGTCTGATTCTTTTCACATTTTGGGGTGTCGCTCCATGGGCCCTGTCCCACTCCCGGATGTGAGCACCCGGAGATGCGTGCCTTCCGGAATGTTTACATGAGTTTGGGTTTGGACAGTTAGACTAGAACCCAGTGGACTTGGAGATATTTTCCAAAAACGGGGAAGGAGCACGCATATTTTTCAACGATGTTGTATTTACATTAAAATGTTGTCACAGTTTAAGAAAGTCACATGTTTGGGGTAATGTTGGTGAAGTGCGGAGAAAAGCGGGAGAGGAGCGTCCGGGGCAGGGGCAGGTGGCGCTGCCTCCCCTTGGAGGTGCCTTCGTGCAGGGCAGCGAGCTCCTGGGCAGCAGTCACCTGCTCGCTTCTTGCCTTCATCAGTCCAGTTCCAAATGCCCGGCAGTGTTTACTGTCCGTCCTTTAGAAGCAGGGAGGACAGCTAGCCCTGCAGCCCTTCCAAAGCCGAGCCTGCAGGAAAATGAAACTGGTTAGTGCTTCTTTTTCTCATTAAATCACAAATGCCTGTTTGACCTTGGGTCCAGGTTGTGAATTTGGGCAAGTTATTTAATCTCTCATGAGCCTCAGTTTGCTTATCTTTAAAATATGAGTAATAATATCTCAAGTATTAGTGCCGGTAAGAAAATTAAGTGAGACCAACACAGGGGCAGGTAGGACCATGTGGCTCTTAGCCAGGGCGTCCATGACTCACGGTGTTCTGGTGTGCTTCGGCGCAGCGGCCTCGGCAGTGAGAGCTGTGTGTGGGTCAGCCTTAGCTTCATGCACTGATTTCCGACCCTTGGATTGGGCTGATGCTACAGTTTGTGCCCTTGGCCAGTGATGAAGGTCCGCTGCGGAGAAGGGGTCACCCAGCCTCCCTCCTGCTCCCTCCCAGGGCGGCCACCTCAAACTGCAAGCACTTAGTTTGCAAATGTGTGTGTCAAGAAGTCAGGTTTCCAGCACGAATCAAAAAGCACCTGGCAGCATTGCCAGCTTGCCCAGGGGCTGTCGGGGCGGGCAGTCTCCACAGCTTGCTCCTCCCAGCCTGGGGTTGCCTGGAGGGTGGGGGTCTTCGTTTGGCTGAGTCAGTGCTTGAAGGAAAGGGGATGAAAAAGCAGCACAGCTGAAAGCTTGCAACCAGCATTCAGTTCCCAACACCATGTTCACATGTTTCTGTTAATATCTTCCCAAGGCGACTTGCTCTTTCTTTTCTTCAGACTTATTTTCTTTGTATGGAATTACTCTAAACATATTAGACAGAAGTTTCTCGTGGCCTTTTTCATTGCTAGAGTGAGAGCAAGGTTGAGTCGTCTCAGTGAATTGAAACTCCTCTTTTAATAAGTTCTTTGGTTAGGACCTCAGAGGAATCTCATCCTGAATACCTTCCACAAGCAATGCCGTGCGCTAGGACTGCTGTGATGGTGAAACAGGCTCATTTTGTCATGTGATTCGAAATAATGGTTTGAGAAAACGTTACCAAGTAAGCCTGCTCGGCTGAAGTTTCTTGGATGTGGGCCAACTGTATGTGTCTGACTAGCAGTTCTGTGTAAACTGTAATAAATATGTTGAAAATGATCAAGTTCTTCAGCACAGCCAGATTTAATATTTCTGTAAGAATTTTTGGAAAAGGAGGTTAAGCCTGTTTGTCCGGTATTCATAAGAGAAGTACTTCAAGGTGAAAGGGATAGACACAAAGAAAGAACCAAACAGTACTGTTGATTTCCTCTAGATTGCTTCACATAAGTAGTATTCACTGTCTTACTTGACGCCGTAGGTTGCTCCAGTACAATATTAGTGAACATTGGAAACTTGCAGGGGAAAAGGAGAAATCTTACAGTTCCCTGTCTCAGAGGCATATTCTTACTAAACGAATGCATCCCAGCCTGTATGTGAGAGCGGAGTGGAGATGACGCACAGGCCTGCGACGGCCGTCCGTGCCAGCTGCCAGAACGCCACCCCGGCGGTGCAAGGCTGTGCCTCGCCCGCAGGGGTGCCTGCGTGTTCCCATCCCAGATCTCCATCCCGAAGTGCAGCCGCCTATCCCTGGGCCGTGCAGCATGGCAGCCCGGGTCATACTGGCTATTTATAGTCAAACTCATGAAAGTTAAAGTCTTTTATTAAAAAGTGAGTAGAGGCAGTTCCTCGCTGTGCCGCACACCGCACAGGCCTGGTGGGGAGCTCGGGGCCCCCAGCGCATCCCAGCCAACTCCTAGGTGACCTGTTTCCACGGGAATCACCGCACGCTGCAGTTGATCGGAAACACTTACTGAGAGAAATAGACGAGCCAGGCGCCCGTGGTCCTCCTGCTGCCTGATGCGTCCCGGCGGCCCGGGTTCCTGAAGGGCGTTAAGAGTTGTCTTTTCCTCACAGCTGAACCTGGTGTCCAGTGTCACGCTCTCCAAGTCCGCGCCAGAGGCCTCTCCGCAGAGCTTACCTCATACTCCAACCACCCCAACCGCCCCCCTCACGCCTGCCACCCAAGGCCCCTCCGTCATCACCACCACCAGCATGCACACGGTGGGGCCCATCCGCAGGCGGTACTCGGACAAATACAACGTGCCCATTTCTTCAGGTAGAGACTCCATTGTTGCCTCGTGCAGAATTGCAGTATGCTATTCTTGTAGACCAGCTTCTTTTTTAAAAGGGATAATTAACAGGACAATGTTCTTATTTAGCAGATATTGCGCAGAACCAAGAATTTTATAAGAATGCAGAAGTTAGACCACCATTCACGTATGCATCTTTAATTAGGCAGGTAAGTAAATAGCACACTATATGAAATTATATCAAAAGGTGTATGTGTACATGGAGGTATCATACTGATGAAGTAGATTTAAAACCACTTAGTATGCAGGCATGCTAAAACCTGGTCTATAAGGTTTTTTAAAACTGCAATATATAACATAATTGCTTTTGATTGAGTATTACAATACGATGTGATTATTAGGAAATTCATTTCACACAACAGTGAAAATGAGCCTGTTTAAAGATGGCAAGTCAATTATCACAAGCCACAGTAATCTCTGATCCCAGAATTAATCTGAGCTCTAAATAATTACTGAGCTTTAATCAGCTAGTGAAATGTTTTGCATTTCTCTTTGATTCTGCTTTATGAATGACTAATAAATTAATATTTCTGTAGAGAAACAGAAATAAAAACTCAAAACAATTACATAATTTCATTTTGAATTTTGCTATTGAACTGTTAAATACAACCATTAATCTTAGATCATTTTGGAAACCTTTCTTAGGATTCAGCTCTGAATCATGGTTATTTTATATTTTCAAGAAACTGTATAATGACGATTCTGCTGATTTGGTCATAAATTATCTTTCTCTGTTATTTTGGCTTCCCAGGCCATTCTCGAGTCTCCGGAAAAGCAGCTGACACTAAACGAGATCTATAACTGGTTCACACGAATGTTTGCTTACTTCCGCCGCAACGCGGCCACGTGGAAGGTAAGCCTTCTCGCAGGCCTGTTTAGGCCTTCTTGCTTCTTGCCATTTATAGAAGAGTTTGTTGTTGAAAAAGTGCAGTTGTTGTATGTTACATTTACGCTGTTTGGATCCACTGGAAGAATCTAATTTGATTGAGGAAATAGTTCCGTTGTGGTTGAAATCCTGGGATGGAAGACTCCCATCACAGTGCATCCGAGGGTTGGATGGACCAGCCAATGAAAGCATCTCCCTCTGGTTGGATACGTAGGGAGAAGGAGCAGACATTCTGAGGTTGTCCTGTCACCTATACAAACTTCATGCCTTTAGGTCTTTAGCCACCACCAGTATTTGCAGAATTGCATAGATCACTTTTTTTTAATGCCATTAAGGATCTGGAGAAATGACCAGACAAACTTGACATAATGTTCATTGGTTGGATAACATCTTAACCCAGCTACTGGAGGAAGTTTGCAACCCAAGTACTAGCACTCTATGTGGGAGCTATTGCAGGAGAACACAATATATTCTTTATTAATTTTTTTTGTTTTTTAAGTCAAGAGACTGTCCATTAGAGATTCATAGATACTCTGGAAAAGCAAAATAATTTCTGAATTATGGAACTTCACCATAACCCCATTTGCTTTAAAACAGGTCTAATTCCATAGGTCCATGTGGATACCCCCAAACAAAGTATGAAGTCATATGACATATCTCATTTTCAGTTCAGCAGTTGGTTCATAGATGCCATTAGTTTTTATTCAGTTGTGTTAGAATAAGCCCTCACAAAATTTTAGACTTCCCACTTTCAATTTCTTGGCCTCTAATATTTTTGCTATAGAAAAAGACACATATAATATGATATTTGTGGGTTGTTGTTTTGTTAGTGTTTTGGGGTTTGTTTGGGGTTTTTTTTTGCATTTTTACTACCTATAGTTCTTAAAATCCCTAAATGTCAAAACATTTAGGTATATTTAAAATGGAAATATTATAGGATATTTTACATGTCATTGTTTAAAATATGATAGAGATTTATTATGGGGAGCAAGGAAAACTTGCTTTGCTTGAAATAAGTGTCTTCCTTGCTACTTTCTTAATTTTATGAGAGAAAAACACAAGCAAAAACAGAAATCATATTACCTCCGTTACAATCTTGATAAATTAGCATTATAAAAGAAAATATTTGTAACCATAGAATTAATTCTTCAAGTTTACGGAGCCCTGGATATCTAGTGTGGCCCAAGTCATCTTTATTATTTCCATTAAGACTCATGGGCGCTGAAGGGAACCTATGTTCAAAATTCTGCCCTCATCCTCCGCCTGTCTTGGGAGGTTAAATACAAAGGATGTTTAGCTATGAATGCTTTTCTAAATTCAGGAAGTGTAGCCTGAAACAGACATTTTCTTCAAATTACCTTTGATAAATAGCAAATAATCACATTTAAAAATAAGTATCAGTTGTGAATATGATATTTAAGCTCAGATCTTTAGAGTTAACTTTTTCATTTTTGCAAACTATTGGAAAAAGTGATGTTTATATAAATATTCCTAGTACTTAATGACCCATCAATACGTATAATTTTCTCTCCGTGTCCTTATTTGTATTATGGTCTTAGACAAAAGATGAAATGCCCAGAGAAAGTGACCAGCGAAAAGAGCTGACTCAGCTTTTGGGGAAACTTGATTTTTTTTGTTGTTGCTTTTGCTTAGATGTGCAACATCATTAAAAACGAAACTTAACTTTTGACTTTACATCTTTGCTGACCTGGCTCTGCGGTGGCACTGACCTAAGGCTGTCCTTTCTGCAGACATGGCTCTTTAGGTCTGCTCGTTTCCAGCCACACAAATGACTGGGGTGAGGAGAGATGTTGACTCTTTC